GCTGCTCCATAGAGTTCTATGCAATCGACCTCTGGGAAGCAAGCGTCTGCATGATCAAGTGTGGCTTCTTGGCAGATGATTGCCTGCAACACTGGTGTTCATCAACATATGTGGTGACTGTCGAGAAATATTTCTCGGATGCAAGACCCCGAACTGCACCTGGAACTCTGATGTAGCTTGTGCACGCTCATTTGATTACCTTCTGAAGACTGTGCCTAAAAGAACTGCTGCAGAATGGCGATTGAGATGAAGGCGTTACAAGATGCGTCATAGGAGCCACCATGTACTTGTGCTGATTGTCTCGATCCCGGTGTGGCTCGCTCTAGAAGTTCAAGCAGAGGGGGAAAATGTTGCTTTTGTGCTAACGTCCCAACTTGGAGTTCTTTGAGTCTCCCTCGACTGACATGCTAGTGAGCCGCAGCAGAACAGGCATCTGCGGTGCCCGCGTTCCTCTGCTGTAACACTGCCAGGATTGAGGCCAGGGGTTCATCCATGATTGTCTATCTGGGAAGGTGTTGCTAATTCTGGGAAAGGCCTCGCGAGGGATGTATAGCATAGATTTGTGTACTTTGAGTAGAAAATTCTTATAGCGTTGTCCCACTAGATCGACAAACGCCGATTTTCGTCCGGCGACAGCACGAAGTTTTGTGTCGCTGATGCTGTTCCACTGCAACGACCAACATCTGCTACAAGCGCCGACAAACCATCAACGACGGACGAGTTGTTGTCTGTTGTTCAACTTGAAGCGCAGCAAGCAGTCCCACCGAGGAACATCTCTCGGAGACAAACTTAATTTTCTTACCCACTTCTGCCTTCAGTTGCTGTCTTCCCCACCCTCCCATTCCTGCCGTGACTCAGTCCTTGGCGGCCACTGATCGTTCCTGCTCCCGCAGTTTCGATTCCTGGATTGCTCGTAGTGGTCGCGGGCACGGCTTGCTTGCTAGATGTCGTGTTGCAAAAGGGAATTTGCTGTGGCTGGTTTTGCTCGCGAAAACCTGGTGCGCGAGTTGGTGCTTCAAGATGCCGAAGTCTACACCCCTGCATCAGGATGGATACACCCATGTGCGAGGACTGACCAAAGTAAGACCGCTCACCACGAAGTAGGACACGACGTTCCATCAGTTCTGCGGCAAGCCATTCCGGCAAAACGAGAGACTTGTCATCCGTTCTGTGATTGTCCCTAATAAAACTACCCCCGTATTGTCCCTCATAAAACGCCTTCCCTTGGAGGCGTTTTATGGGGGAACAATGAAATTCCCGTGAAATTCCGTGGCGCGCACCTGGAATGCTTCGAACGACCCAAAAAAAGGAACGATTCAGGAATTCTAGTTCGGAAAAAGTTGGGTGTCGATTGTCACGACTGTTTTCGGAAAGTCGCCAACGGCAAATGAAGGCAAGCGGAAGCTTTAAAGGGATACTTCAACGAAATTTGAAATATTTCCGTCGTGTTCAAAAATAGGTTGAATGTGATCCACAATATCCGTAAATGACAATCACACGTTTGTATTTTGAGCCTGGTGGCTGTATTTTTCGTTATAAACGGCCCACTCTGGCAAGCGCTCGGAGAAGGCCCAGCGGAGACCATGTGACATCCAACGCAATCGTGACGTAGGTCGTCTCAAGACGAGCAAAGCTACGGCGAGGCTGCCGTCGAGATGATGGCCTAGTTGTTCCAGCTTGTTCCAGCCACCGAAGCGGCTGCTTTTGTACAAATTTTGAGTGACAGGTAAATCTTCTATAATCTTGTAGGGGGACAATAGCGACTTCTGTGACACACAAAAGGCATTCTCGGGAAGAGGGGAGTTCCCCCTGCCCCTCTTCTCGTCGTGGCCGGAGGCGAGACAACCTCCGCCACTAGCTGCCAAGGTTGCTAGACGGGCATTACAAGCGAGGCGTTAGCGACATCCACCAGGTGCTCTTTGCTAATCGTTTAATTCGTCTTAAAATTCCTTTTCATGACTTTTTTAACACGATATTGGTATGTTCGATTTGGCGGTGCTTTTTTGAACACATATAGACCAAAAAATGAGCGCGGAAATTTCGTAGTAGTATCCCTTTAAACAAGGAATAAAGTCATCGTCTCCACTTTCACCGTGTTTGTCGGCGCGTTTGACGCCCAAAAAGCAAAACAAGAAAACCGCGTCGCCATACTCTGTTTGTCTATTTTGAAGTGCTGTTGACAACTCTAGTCCCACTAGGAAAGAAGTTTCCTTGTCCCCGTGTTCTGCTCCGTGTCTGCCAGGTGGGACAGAGGACTCCGACAAAGAGGCTGTTTGTCAGTGTTGTATGTCGCTCATTGTCGTCTGTTGCTGTCGTTTGTCGCTCTAGTGGGACGCGGCTATTAGGGACTCGGCCTGGGGCATGTTAGGGGTGTGTGCGTATAAGTCGCTGGTCGTAAGAACCAGCAGCATTGCATTCGTTGTGCTCAGTGTCCTGGATTGTCTGGATCTGCCTGTAATTTATGAGACCTTTAGAACTTCAGCATTACACAGTGATGACATCAGCAGCTGGAAATTGATGGGACCGAAATAAAGATGACAAAACTAGATTGTAGCTGGAGTCTATCACTACCATAGAGAAGCTCTCAATAGCATGGACTTTGGATTCACACAAGAATGTCCCGTGGGTAACAGGATTTAATGCACAAGTAATTCTGAAGATGGCTTTAATGCTTCCGTTCTAATTCCCATGGACCTCCACAGGCTGAAAGGGCAGGTGACATACCTATGTATCAAGTGCAGAGGAGGGAACAGTGAACAAAAAGGCACCACGAAAAGGCCCCCATCTATTGAAACCGAGTTCTGTATGGGTTTTTATTCTCTGCTCACCTCCAGTGCTGATCAAAATAACACGACGTGAAATCATGATAGGCGTAAGAAACAAACAGCTTGAAACCAATTCGCGTCCTTTTAATTTCACGAAATTTGGTATGCGCCAAATAGCCTAAAACTGGTACAAATCAAAGCAGTCTGTGCAATAAAACGTGAAAATACGGCAGAAAAAGTAAACACTTGCGGGGCGTAAAACCGCGGAAGTAAATCCGTTCGTGGCAATCTTGTTCAGCGACAAACAAGTGTTCATTCAGCTGTGAAGCATTGAAGTGGATATAAAATCTGCATAGCGTTTCAGAGCAAGAAAAACGGCGAATTAATTGAGCAGTACGATTGGGCGCGTTCAGTAGCGGCCCCGGAGTCAAGGAGTCACTGACTCCTTCCACTGGACGGCCAAAAGTCACTTCCGGTGCACGTAACTCCGGGGCTTCGGAGTCAAGCTCCGAAGCACCGAGTCCGGAGACGGTGCACGTAGAGTCAAAGGAGCTAAAATGACGTCATTTCCTGACTGGTGACGATTTCCGGCGCTAAAAGAGAACAAAAACAAACAAAATGGCGGGATAAGCTGCTTCGGTTCTGTCGCGGGTGTGAAGTTTGCTCGCTTTTGTTAATGAAAAGTGCTCAAGGTAAGACGAATAACGCGTCCGAATTTCTTTTTGAGGTAAGGCTCCTTCAGAAAATGCATTGGACCGTATTTTGCTTGGTTTGAATATGCTAATAAACAACGTAAACGTTCATTTGACGCCGTGTCTTGATCGCCGTTGCACGGAAACTCGGTAATATTGACGATAGTCCTGTCCGCGCTCAATAGAGCAAGGCAGGGTATGACCGCGACTTTGGAAGCCGGTTGGACACTCACGCAGAGCATGATACCGATTAATGTTTTGTTTGCGTAGCTAAATCGGGGTGCACGTTGGCTGAGGCTCGCTTCGGCCGACAAAACCTTGAACGCCGAGCGCGGCCGAACTTCCCGTGTGCATACGAGTTCGTTACGAAGGGCAAAACAAACGTATGGCCGTATAAAAGTATCGCAACCGGCGGCGTAGATTCGCCGAGCTCTAAATTTTACGTGTGCTGACGACGTTTATTGTCGGCTTTTATAACAGTAGCTGCCTTTGCACCGCCAAGCGAAGGGCTCGGTCGCGTTGCATCGCTTCGAACAGCAGCGCCGGAAATCGTCACCAGTCAGGAAATGACGTCATTTTAGCTCCTTTGACTCTACGTGCACCGTCTCCGGACTCGGTGCTTCGGAGCTTGACTCCGAAGCCCCGGAGTTACGTGCACCGGAAGTGACTTTTGGCCGTCCAGTGGAAGGAGTCAGTGACTCCTTGACTCCGGGGCCGCTACTGAACGCGCCCATTGACAGCATTGCGGGCGCTACGCGGGCGCGTAGGAAGGCGACAAGGCTTACTTTGATAAGAGTCACACGGAAAACGTTGACACCAGCCACACACGCTGTGCAAGGCTATCGTTCTCGCTTCTTGAATTACGGTTGAAAAGCACTGCGCATTAGCACTGCAAGCACTCCACGTGTACACGGTTTCAATTACGGAACAGAGCAGCGAGGCCTACCTCATTCGAGCTTGGGTAGAGAATCGCCGAGGTTGGAGCAGTCGAACTGTGGACATCGGCATGCTCGAAACTTCTGCTACCGACTTTTATGCGCGTAATATGCGGAATAACTCAATGGATATGCACTGGCAGATGAAACAACGCGTCCACGGCACCAAAGTATCCGCGGAGTGTAGCAGACGCTCCTGCCGGCGACCGGCGTCGTATGTGCGTCGCCGTCAATATTTTGTCCGGCGGTAATCTGGCCAATCGCAGCACGCCGCTCCGCGGCAGATCTGGAATGGCCAGGTTTTGGAAATACGCGCCGCGGCGCCTTCCAGGGCACCGGCGAGGCCAGCGGGTCGGTTTAGAGTTTTGGTTTTAGACCGAAAACAGAACGAACAGAAAGAAATATATAAAATAAATTGCATTTTATTTTCATGGTGCCGTGAAGACGTTTTGTTGAAATTACTGTTAGCGGACAAAGTTTTATAATGTATTTTTGTATTAATGAGAGTTCCCACCACCTAAGCGCTGCTGCCGGTGGCGACGCTATGCACAGCGCCGCTGATGGTGGCGACGCTAATGTCAGCGCCGCGAAACTGGGACTGTGACCGGGGGTTGCCGCAGAAGTCAACGGACAGGGTAAAGAAGGACACAGACAGAGCGCTGACTCGCAACTAATTTTTTAGTTGCGAGTCAGCGCTCTGTCTGTGTCCTTCTTTATCCTGTCCGTACCGCAGAAGTCAACGGACAGGGTAAAGAAGGACACAGACAGAGCGCTGACTCGCAACTAAAAATTTAGTTGCGAGTCAGCGCTCTGACTGTGTCCTTCTTTACCCTGTCCGTTGTCTTTTGCGCTGTTTTAACCTTTTATTAATTATTTATTTTTTATTTTAACGTTTTTTTTTTTAACCTTTTATTTAAACCCGGCTAACATGTAAGTACACCCTTCGCCTCGACGGATGTTTCTCGCGTGCTCTAGCGCGCTTTTCCTCGCGCCGAAGCGAACCCTTGCAGCGTAACGATCCGAGCGAAAGACCACGGAGCCCGCTGTGACAGGGGCTCCGGAACCGGGGGGGGGGGGGGGGGGGGGGGGGGGGCGGGGGGGGCAGGGCAGGGATGCGTGCGTTGGCAGCGTTCGTTGGCAACGAACGCTGCCAGCGTTCTCATGACCATTTCTGTTCCTGCATTCGCTGTTTTCTAGTTTCCTGACGTTTCATTTCCGCCTATAGTTCTTGCGTCGAACGTATCTTTTTGTGCATGTGCGTTAGTTTGCTTTTAGCAGAGCGTAATGTAGAGGTGTAATAATTCACGCCCCCTCGATTCGACGGCACAAAGCGAATCGAGGTGCCGTGGTCCTTTTATGTGTGTGCATGTGTGCTTGCGTGCGTACGTGTATGCTAATACCACGACTCGCGTGCCAAGGCGTCAACAGTTTAATATCAGTGGCACAGTGTTACCGCGCTGTGAAGACTGGCCAGAAACCGTCCCCCCCCCCCCCCCCCCCCCCCCACCCCCTTCCCTGCCTGCCCAGTAGCGTAGCCGGCTCCCTGCCCAGTAGCGTAGCCAGAAATTTTTTTCGGGGGCGCTGAGCTGGGCTGGGATATTCATGACTTCGGGTACGGAGGGGGTTAAAGTATTTGTGTAGGCAGGGCCCGGTTAACCTGAGGGCTGAAGGAACTGCTGCCCGGGCACAGGTGTCCTCTCAACTACAGTGCAACCCACTTATGACGATAATGACAACCCGAAATTTCAATCGATAGAACCGATTATCGTTGTATCTGGACTAGAAACTTATCATTTCCAGTCTAGAAACTCTGGAAACTGATCGTAATAAGCTGTTCATTATTATACACTGCATCGTTATAAGTGGGTTGCACTGTATTGGCACATACGTTTTGTGCCATTTATTTACCATGGATGTAGTCGTAGGACGTCTTAATTCCCCCACGGCCGTCTTTATGGTTGAGAGTTTTCCATTAATTTTTCTTTACCGCAACCTTCTTAGTGATAACCTGTACGCAAAGGCGATTGTTTCATATTTCCATTTTTATTTTCCTTTTCCTGAAGGCAGATCGGCAGTTGACTAGTCAAAGTGAGAGCATATTCACAACTCGTCCTTTGACGATCGTATCGGGTTGCAGCTCGACCAATTGATGTTGCGAGCAATTTCCTAAACTCCTCTGTAGCACGTCACGTAGCTGAAGCGCCATACTGTATAGGCGTACGGCTCGACACCTAAAAGTTGACCGCGGTGTAATAGGCGATGCTAGAGCTCAGTCAGACAACTATCTTAAGAGTATCTGAGCATTGTGTTGGATGTCTTTTTAGGACCGAGAGGGAAGTTCTCTGGGAGGCCAAAATTTTCGCTTTTATGCTAGTAAATGAACTTAGACAACCAAAAGAATGAATGTGGGTTGTATCATAAAGGACAAGGATTCCAGATAGACAAATCGCTCAGAATTGTGGTAAAATTTTTCAGACCCCTTTAACTTTTATATTGTTTTCAGGGAGGTGAGCATACTCCAGAAACGACTCGAGGACTCTTGTGCAGAAGCCCAAAGGTGAATATGTCTCTGCCTTAAAGCACTATACATGGATTTTAAAGAGAGGCACACTTTCTGAAATGGCCTTTAACTTGGATAAATGCTATGTGGCAAGCGCAATGCGCTATATTTTAGCGTGCAACTCGGCACTTGGTTAAAGCCATAAAAACGTTTACCTCTGCGAGCGGAACTGTAGGCTGAATTCTACACCACTTTTCTCCCGGTTTCCCCGGCAAATACAAGGGTTTCCCCTTGTATTTGCCGACATTTGTTTATTCGATACCTACAACACCTTTTCGGGGTACTATTGTAGAGGGATACACATTGCAAAAAAAAAAAAAATATATATATATATATATATATATATATATATATATATATATATATATATATATATATATATATATATACATAAACAAGAATTTAACACACATTATGTGATGCACTGGATACGGCACTTTCGTTGTAATGAATTCTGTGCCGCTAGCTGATATGCTCACTTCTTCCATTTTGTATTTTGTATGCAGGTGGAAGAACGACTATGAATTGCTGCAGGCCAGGGTCGCACCCTTCCAGGTTAGTGGGAAAGGACTGTAGCGTTTTGCCAGAATAACGATCGGAAGGTTCGCAACATGGTGTTTTCCGACTTGGCAAGGAATAGACTCAGAACCAAATGGGGCCTTGGGATTGTTACTTATTTAGCGCTTGACTTGGGTAAAAGCACCTTCTGAAATTCTAAAAGAATGCATTCTCACCCCTCCCCTTGAATTGAAAAAATAATTTCTGGCAGTAACCAACAAACCCTTTCCAAAGGTTCATTGTGCAACACCGCAGCCGCCATGGTTTGGTCATTGTTTCCTGCGTGAAGCGTGCAGTTAGATTTCAGCTCACACCGAGGCTGACACAGCACTCGTCTCCAATGCATGCCCAAAATAACACTCTTGAGCAGTTACCAGAGAGCACACACTCTCAAAGAGGGTCTATTGCAGCTGAAGGATTGAACACCAGATAAAATTGCTTCCACCGTTGTGGGTAGGCATTTTGAGCCAACTCGCTTCACACCAGTACTTTTGGAGCCTGGCTCCAAAAGCGCTGGCCTACGAATCCCCAGGCGGAGAGTTCAAATCCTGGCCGAGGTGCTTACAATTTGATGAAGGCTCGTTGGCAGAGAAGGCACCGGTAATTGAGATTTCAGTTGCACATCAAGACCCCTGGGGGGTCGGAATTAATCCTGTGCCCTCCGCTGGGGTGTGCCAGATGCCCTTGGTCGGTTTAGCCCGTAAAACCCCAAAATTTTGATGGGTACAGTTTTCTCATTTTCTTTCTCCGAACAATGACGATGTGCGGTGGCACTTCGTTTTTTCTAGTTGCAGCTGGAGCTTTATGACGTTGAGAGGCGCCACCTGGCAGAGAGAAACCAGGCTACCGAATCGGAGCTGTCCAAGTTGCACCACAAGTTCTCTGAGCTGATGGGTCACCAGAACCACAAGCAGAAGATCCACTACCTCACCAAAGTCACCGAAGAACGGCAGCATTACCAGGCGGCAAGTAGCCTTTTCAGTGTTGTAGCAATAACCGCTCTTTTGTCAATGAGTTATGAATCACGTGCTTAATTGAGTACTCCCCAGGGTTAGGCACCCATGCCTTTTTCTGTACTTTGCGTAACTTCTACCTATGCATGGCGGATTCCTAGAGGTTTTTACAAAACATATCATGCTGAAATCCAGATTCGAAAAATTCTGTATCTTTTAGGCTATTAATATTTATAGTTTGGTTCTCAACCATTCATGTTTAAGGACCTCTTTGCTGGCAGAAGTGATGGGGGACTCATCCACTGGGGAGGACGGGGAAATAATGGACGATTACGATAACAAAAGTGTAAATAAAGAACTCGATGTATGCAAACTTACTTTGAAGTACTAGAACAGAACCATACTCACTTGCTGTGCATGCAAGACGGTCAGCATAATTTTAATATTGTTTGGTTGAGGGCTTTCAGTACCCTAAGAAGGCGTTCAAAGACCCCGAAGGGTCTACGGACCCCCATTTGAGGACCACTGGTTTAGCCGATGCAGAATTAATTGACCTTTTTAGGAAATCGCCAGTTTAAGAGGTTCTGGTATGAAAATGCGAGCATGTGCTCAAACAAGCGCAAGCACTGCTTCGACTGAGGTACCTACACCCTGCTGGCTCCATTGTCCAGCAGTGACCTAGATTGGGCTTCCCCAAAGTCCCCTTTGTTCCTATTGTGGCTTATCTTTTGCCCCCAAGTTAATTCTAATACCCCATTCACACGGCAGCAAGTATCTACCTTTAGCTAAGGTCCCTTAGCTAAAGGTACTTTAGTAAATGGCATTCAGTATCACACGGTGAATAAACGGAGGATGAATGTGTGAATAGGTAGTACTGGCCATACTTTTTGTATCGGCCTTGTCGTAACGATTTGTAGCTCGTGAACTAGCATAAACGAGGAAGAAAAGCCTTTTTCTACATGGCGGATGAGCTTGGAGCGAGTGGTGCAAAGCGCACCTTGAGGCGGTCCAATGAAGAAGCTGAGGTATTGTTTTGAAGTGAAAGGTTTGTCCACGAACGATTTGCGTATGCTGTCCTGTAAAAGGTTCGCAATCTTATGCATTTGGCCTCCTCAGACCGGCAGTGCATTGCAGCTGCATGGTGGGCCCAAGGTTTCAGACGGTGTTTTGAAACTCAAAGAACTGGTAAAATACTGCTTCGAAAATCGTTACCTAGTTTGTTCTAGTTACCGTTTTGCTTTGCTATACAAAAAGCCACTGGCAGCAGGCATTGTACAGATTCACTCTAATATAAAATGCCTCCTTTCAAGACGTTTAAAAATGAGAGGCACATGCCAATGCTTGGATTTGCGTACGCCGTTGTGTTGTATAATTGGCTGTAATATTGAAACGGACACGTTCAACAGAATACATGGTGGCTGAATCTGCTAGCATGAGTGTTTCTCACTAGCATATTGCTCCGTGCTTGTGTTCAGGCTTAATCCAATAACTGCTACTTGGAAATATTCAATTTGTTATAAAGCACTCAACAGCATATATCAGTCATTTTTTTATTTCGAGTTCATGGGTGAAGCGATGAGGCGAGTTGGCGAGAGCTCCCTTCAACATAAGCCCTCCCTTAGTTAAAGGGACCTTTATGTGCCGTGCGACGGCCTCCAGCTCTCTTTACTAAAAGATCCTTAGTTAAAAGTACCTTGAAGCTGCCGTGTGAAATGGGTAAAAAACTTTCCTGCCCTCTTCTTCCTAATGCGCACATTGTTTCGTCCTCAAAATCCTGGAATCCAGTCTTCCACCAGGTGGCAACATGGTTGGGCAAAAGGTTGTAAGGTTTTGTAAATACACTTAAAACAAGAAGGAAGTCTGGATTTGGTAATCATAATCTGCTTTGAATTTCAGAGGTGTTGTGTGTCTCGTGCCTTGACTATTTTGGTTTGAAACGCCATCTCACGTGCCCATATTCTTGCTCTTGCAGGGGGTCCTCAAACTGCAGGAGCAAAACCTCAAGCAGATGAAGCTGATCCAAAAGCTGGAGCTTGAAGTCAAACGTTGCTCTCTCAAGCCCCCTCTTGCTTCTCATAAGGAAAACCTGTTTCCGTGAACTGCGCACTGATCCGATTTCGCATACACCTGTCGCTGCTCCTATTGTAAGCATGCAGCCTTCAAGCCAATTGGACTGGTATTTATTATACCAGGATTTTTACTGTCATTTTATTTTTAGATTATATATGTGAATTTTTAAACGTGCAGAATAAAAAGTATAAGAAAACATGGTACCACTTCGTTCTGTTCGTGTACATGGTTTCGAAACCTGCAAGTCTACAGCCCAGAACACCCATGCTCGTTTTAGAAGGTAAACTCGTAATTTGGAATAAGTAATATATATATTTGAATACTTGTTCATCGCCAGTCTGGCACGAATGTGAAAAGTCCATCAAACTGGGGTGCCTTTATGTGCGCTTTGCTTAGGGTGATGACATCTGGTCGTTAATGTTCTGATCGCTTATTTTCCTTCCTCTGTTTTGAAGCTTGTGAAAATCTGTCCCTGCACGCACTCTTCGCTCTGACTGTGGTATGGCGACATTTTTTTTACGGAGATTTCTTTGAATTTTTTTTAGCATGTGCTGTCAGCATGGGGTACAACAAAGGATGGCATCCTCTAGACTAGAGCCACCAAAAGCTATGCTTCAGAGTAATGCTTGCCCATCTTGGGGCTCAAAAATCTTAGTTGCTACCTGAAGCTTTATCTGAAGTCTCAAAAGAATGCTTTTTCGTCCTCTACAAATGTTTTAACAGTTCATGACTGAGCAAAGTAATATTACACGAGTTTCCTAACACCGAATCTAATGCTGAGGAAGTCGCACTTTCGAATCTTGACGATCGGCAGTTGCATCTGCTCTGTACTAAGCACCAAGATGCCGGCGTCGGGTGTAGGACAAAGTGGTTTTGGACAGTATGGTACCAAGCGTAAAGCTGGACAAAATGGTCCCAAGTGATTTGTTGACTTGGGTGCTCTCTGAAGTTTTAGTGAATTGCTACTCTGGAGCTTCATTCAACATTTTTGTTTCATATTTTAGGAAACAGCTAAAGAAGTTAATTTAAGTTGTATTATTCCTCACGGCTCTATAGCACCTATTTGAACAAGCCTTAGCATTGTGCAAAGCATGGAGCTTGGAAGTCTACACAATACATATGCATACACTAAAAGCGCAAGGTCGCAATGCACTTGCACTGCGATTAATTGGACGAGTCGGTAATACCACGCAAAAACGTTAATGCAATTAGTATGTTTTGTCTTCAGCACTACTTTAACATACATCCTGCTCCTGTGTAATGCACATTAAAGACCCCAGGCTAGCAAGTGGGTACAGCACTGCCAAACTTTCTCCACTACAGAACAAACCAGTGTCGCCGCTCCTCAAAGGTAGGCTGACCTTGCACTATAAACACAAACATCAAATATATGTTGTGGCATGTATATGGCACATTTTTCTTCTCGCGTTGATTATATCAAATATTATAGACACATTATTTGATACATCCAGTTCATACATATTATTTCTATTCCACTGTATATTTTTCCCTTCAACTTAACTCGGCTACTGGCGTGCAGCGCGTCTTGAAATGGACATGTGCAATGGCCCAAATTTTTAATAATTTCAAGCCAGCGTCGACTGCCGGGACAACCAGCGCTGTGCCGCGAAGAAATGCGGCGTCACGGGAGAGATTAAGCGCTTTCTCGTAAAGCTCTTTCTGTTGCGAGCATCGTCTGCTAGGCTATTCCGTGGACCGCACACAGCCCCTGTTCATTATCTGCTGGCATAGCTAACAGTCTTTAAGCAAAGATCTGAACAGCGCTTGCTTGTGTGATACTGCTTAGGCGTGGCATAAACCGTGTGTCATCTTGAGTTTAATTTACTTTTTTTGTTCATTTCATGTTTGTGTTTACTTTTGTGAACACCAACAAAAATGAAAAATACAGTGACACGACAAACTGAATGCAACGATAAATTAAACTACATACCGCAGACAATGCTGCGAGGCATCAAAACCAATCCATTGCTTTCACCCTGACACGTGACATTGTACTTTCCCGTGCAGTTGTACCCAATGGGAAGGCCACGTGACACACTTTTAGCGATGAACTGGCCAAGATAACACTCGTAGCGTCGGCTGCGGTACAACACAAAGTGAAACGGAGTATAGACGGGGTTTTCGATTTGGCTTGGTGTTTTGTATTATCAACTGCATTGTTGCTGTCATCATGTAGCCAAGTAGTCACAGTTTTCTTCAACGAGGTTGGTTTTCTTTGACCAGTGGGCGTGCGCACATTTTTATGCCTCCTCGAGGGCCCATAAAAACACGGGAACGCATTGTGAGAATGTCGATGGGCGGCATGACGCAAAGGGATATAGAAAAAAGTCGGGGTTACACAGGCTAATGTCAATAGGATTTTGAACGCATTTCAAGAGGAGGGGCGTATCGCCCATGCACTTCGACATCGCAAGCGCCCTGCCCTCCTTTGCTACAAAGCAAGGGCTGTGTGTGGTCAACGGAATAGCCTAGCAGACGACGCCCCCACCAGAAAGGGCTTTGTCAACACCACTTAGAGCAAAGGCTGCAGCGCTGTGAGTTGCGACTTCACAGATTCACGACGAGTGGGCCGACCTGAGAATATACAATTTGAAGCTTCTATTCGTAGTGTGAATGAATGCAAGTATATGTGTGCATGAAGCTTTCACAGCTGCATGTGTCCCTTACTGAAAATTATGCTTTAAGTTTGCTAAGTTTGCCTGCACTCGGTTAAATCAAAACTTGTGCGCTTCGGTCTAGGCGGCGTCTTCGCCTCTTTTAGTCTTTTCTGCATTTAATTTCTCGTCTTCGTGTCTCCGTTTCAGATTAATTACTTTATGAAAAACGTTCCCCAGTTCACCTGCAGTTTTGTTTTTATTATCATTAGTTTGCTTCTGGTAAAAAATACATTTCAACACATTACGTTTTTCGCTGTGGCTAGTGCTACGTCCGGACGGAGCACTGAAACGCCTATACCTAACCCAACCCCCCCCCCCCCCCCCCCGCCCTCCTCTCTCTCGCCCGTGAACCTAGGGAAGGCGGAGATTTGGACGTAACTTCGGTTACGTCTGACGTAACGCTACACACTTAGTACATTTTTTCGTGCTCCAAAAGTCCACATTTTTTTTTTAAATAATCTTTTTATTAGCTTCACATACGAATTCAGTAACCACACGTCATCACTAGGGGTGTCGCGAACTTTTGTCGAACCGGATTTTTAGGTCGAACTTTCGGGGTTCGACGAACCTTCGAAACTTTTCACCATGCAGATTCGACTGGTTCGACTTTGCGGACAGTGTGGCCAGACCTTGATACACGCATGTATAGGTTTGGAGAATTTATTTTTATGCAAAGGGTTATTTTATTTTATGAGCACTTGCAATTAAAAGAAACCAATTCTAATCACTGAAGACATTAATAACATAATTTTTTTGTACTGTATTAACAGAAATAACAAATCAGCGGTGCCCTTAATTCATCCTTTAGCCATTACCATCCAATCCGAATCCAAATTGCCAGCCTGTCGCGCATGCGCACACGTGTCAAACCTCAATACAAGGTTCGTCGAAATTTTCACAAGAGGTTAGCAAAAGTCGAACCTGGTCGAACTCGAACCTCGGCCGGTTCGCAACACCCCTAGTCATCACCAACTTGATTGTTGCTGTTATGCATTTTGCATACAAAACACCAAGCCCAATCGGAAACCCTGTCTATACTCCGTTTCACTTTGTGTTGTACCTACGGGTGTCGCAAACTTTTGTCGAATCAGATTTTTTGGTCTAACTTTCGGGGTTCAACTGGGTCGAACCGGTTCGACGAACCTTTGAACTTTTCACCAGATTATCATGTTTTCTACAGCGATCAAAGTACAAATGTTGTCTTAGTTTTGAGTAAAAGCCTCAGGATTTGGTAAGGTCACGTGTCTAGTTGTCAAAACAGGGGAGTGCAACTTTCTATACCGCCCATGGAACGCAAATTGGAAAACCCTGGAGGCCGCAGCGCCATTTGAATCCCCTGGTATCTGGTGGCTGTACTAAAATAAATATGGCAGCACAGCGAAACCAAAACCGAAACTGCACGGCAGCGCCATTGTGTTTGGATGGATGGACGGTGCTTGCGCCACCTAGATTTAAAAAAAAAAAAATATATAAGGCAGACTAAAGTTCCTTCCCAAGGAGAGCTACGCCAGAAGGATGTACTACCAAAGTACTACCACATCCGATATCAGGGGTTCAAGACAGGCTGGATGAAGAGAATAAAGGCCATAGATTCAAAGTACGGTGGGGGCACAATAAGGCATCTGGCGACGACGGAACGGGAGTGGGCGAGGACAATACGGACAGAGGTGACACGGGCCGGAATAGAGGACTGGAGAAGGACAATGCAGAAGAAACAGAGCCTCCAACTGTACAGGAAACACAAGAAAG